ATATTAAAATAAGCTACTACTTACTACTTGTATTAATATTCCTACTTCGTGGTTTTTCACTTGTGGCTTCAGGGTACGGATCCCTCGCGATAAACGAGGGACTAGTGTGCTATCATTAAAGGTGCTTTTCATCTATCAGTTTCACATAAAATTTTTGATTTGATTGCAAAAAGAAAAGCTTTAAAAAAAAAAAGCTCTAAGTAACAAATCATTGACAAAACGATCCAACAGAAAAAAAAAAACAACTGATGAGAATAAGAGGGTTTTTTTTTTTTACCAAAATGAAGTTACTTCACACTTTGTTGATTTGAATAAAAGAACCAATAAATTACAATTTATTTAATAGTTTTCCATATAATGTGTTGGAAACTTTACTTTTTAGTTTTTTATATATTTCAAGTTCTTGGTAGCGAGCAACATTTGAAATTAATGAATAAATTAAGTCATTTTTGTTTATTGACACTATGGAAGTTACACAATGTTAAGTGTAAGGACAACCAAGATCAAAAGAAATGATATGTTTATGTAAAACTTCTTCTAGTGGCTTGTTAGGGTCACCATGGTAACCACACACTTGTATCCATCACTCCCTGGTAGGACTCGATTTTCACTGTATTCAATGTGTTTGCAATAAAGCAACCAGCAAGTTGTGCAGCTGCTTTTAGAATTATTATTATTTTGTGTGTGCACAAGTTGCTAGATTGTATTTTAAGCTGTACACCATGGCAGCCCCCCTTTATGATTTAATCGATTTGAGTGCATTTGTGAAATCAAGATGGGCAGATCTGGACCAGTTTTTGAACAATTTATCATTGACATGGGTTGTAGACGAGGACAGTTTATGTCAGAGACTAGCAGGTGTCAAAAAACAGCTCTAATGCTTTTGAGACAAGTTGCAAAGGTCTGTGACAAACTTGGTAAGAATTAGAGGTGCCCATAAGAACAAAGTGACTATTTTGACAGAAAAATCGCTGCAAAAATGTTTTAAACATGTGCATAATTAAAACAACAGGACTGCAACTCCAGTGAGGAAATTGAGAACCTCCACAAAAGTCTAGATTCTAGAAACTAGTATCCAACATCTGCAGCCCAGTGAGATACGACTTTCAGGTTTAAGCTCAGATACAATGAAATTTGATGACGGTTTGGATGTGCACACTCTGGGAGAACTTAAAAATACTGTCTACATTTTGAAGTAAAAAAAAAAAAACTTTAAGAAATGCAAAACTGAGCTGTTGCACACAAAGTTGAGGTAAAACCCTGAAAAACTGATTGTGTAAAAAAAAAAAAAACTATAAATATATCAAAACACCAGTTTAGTTATGTAATGTTTGATTTTCTGTGACCTCTTTAAACTCTGAATGGAGTTTCTACTGTACCGGCGTTTCGGTAACAGTTTTCCAAAAAACTAAAAGACGAGAGATAACTGTGAACCAGTCTTTATTTGAACATCTCACCTAGGAAAATATGGAGGGTGGGAGTCACACCACAAACTATGGAAGCCCTGGAGGCCCACAAAAAAGACTAAAGCAGTACAGAATACAAAACCAATACATAACATTTATTGTGAAGTATACCTGAGCAACATAGCTCCAAAAAGAGTTGTTTTCGCACTTGTTATGTTAAAATAACAAAGCTCCTTTATAATAGGTATAATGTATATAAAAGCTCTTGGCACACATCTCTCTAACGAAAAATACTATTATGGATCTGGTGAGTTGGACTTTAAACACAATCGGCAAAATCTTTTTAACAAAACGACAGTGTCCTGGAGAACCCTCTTGTCCGGCTGAGACTCACGCTGCGGAGTACGTCAGAGATCCGTGGGGAGTTTGGCAGCTGATGTGTCTCTCAGTTCTGTCTCAGGAGAACGCTGATGACGTTTATATATTTAGATTTATGATAGCACGGGTTCTGCTCTTTGGCAGAGGCGGGGCTCTGTTTTATCAACTTTTGAAGCAGACTTCGGCAGCAGTTATGGCAAAGCTTCAGAGTCATTGCGAAGGTTTGGATCATGCTACGAGTACTCAAAATCAGCTGATTTACGAGCTAAACCCTAAGATGAAGGTGATTTGTGAGAATCACAGGCCACCTGCGGCTCCTAGGACTCGTCAGCATGTTGGGATCGACCTTGAGGAGGGCTCATAACACAGATCAGTGGAGTGGATACCCATAAATTTGGCCATTTTGGACCGGAAAGTTCCAGCAGGACTCAAGGCTGATAAGAAAAAAAAAAGTCTGCCTGAAGAAAAATAAACAATTGTGGCTTTTTTGAATCAGACTCCCCTGTTTGGCCTCGGATACGAGCAGACTATCAACTTTCTCCTGGGACATGGGGAACTAGAGACAAAGCTTCGTATATTGCAGATATATAATAATAATAATAATAATAATAATAATAATAATAATAATAATGACATCACAATGTCAGCACTGTATGTTTCCATACAATGGCAAAATTAGTCTCTGCATTTAACCCATCCACCACCAGGTGGTGCAGTGGGCAGCTATTGAAAGCGCCCGGGGGGCATTTTGGGGATGAGGTGTGCTGCCCAGAGACACCACGTGATGTGCAGTGACTGGGGATCGAACCTGGGACTTTCGGGTCCCAAGCCGGCTGCCCTGCCTCTACACCATCTCAGAATGAGAAAGTAAGAACTTGAGGCTTGCTCTGCAAAATTAAAAACGATGTGACAGAATCTAACATAATTTTTTTTTTTTTAAACCCAACAAGCTTGCATCGACTACCTGGTACTTTGATTATAGAATGCAAACCTGAAATATAACTAATGTAATGTATTTTCCAGTGTACAAATCACAGTTTTTACATAGATTTGCTAGTCCTGCGACTTATATGTTTTTTTGACTGACGCTTTATATTTCTAAGAAATGCAACGGCGAGTCCTCCCGTGCACGCTCGGTTCACTCAGCTGGTGCAGGCGGAGGAACGCAGGAGACCTAGCGGCTCCGGACATGATAGATGGATGGATGGATGGCGCCGCACCATCCAGGCAAAATTAAGCTGTTTTGACCATTTAATTAATGCATAATAAACGCGACGGGTCAGCGGTCATGCATAATAAACGCGATTTATACTCCGGAGCGACTTATACGCTGGAAAACACGGTAGATAATTGTCAGAATTAGTAACATCCTGTCTCAAAGCAGTGCTGCAGAAAACTAGTCTGTACTTTTATTACTTTAAAGCTACTTTAATTTATTGCAATAATAAACTTTCCTGAACATTTTTTAAAATATTTCAAACTGACTAAAATATTAATAAAATATTAGGGGGAAAAAAAAACTTTCTAATTCCATGTGATGACTATTCACTAAAAAATCCACTGGTTTGCATTGCCAGACAATTACAAATAAACAGAAATATATCCTGATGCATGCTCAATAATCCAGGTAGAACAGAAATATACTAAATTGGACCGTATTTGCTTTTTTAGAACGTCTATTGTTGTCGCTGTTGTCCATTGTCATCATTCTTTGTTAAATCAAGTCTCTCTTGTAAATGAGTCCTCGAGGCTCAATGGGATTAACCTGTCTAAATAAAGGTTGAATGAATTTGATATTTTAATTGTATTGGACTGTTAGTTATTGAATTCTCTTTCTTGAAGTGCTATAATTGATTGGCCAGAATTATAACGGGTTTATTTCTTTATAGCTGAAAAACTACACATTCACTTTTAAACACTGAGACAAATAAACATTTGCAACCCGATTATAGTTATTGTTCTGTCAAGTAATCTGTTTAATTATGCAAACATGTTCTTTTTAATCTTAGTTTTTATTTTCGAACACTTGAACTGGCCGTCAGGTTTCTGCTCGGCTGACAGAAACAAAAGCTGTTTAAACTTCCAGTCAAACCTGCTGGAAGTAAAACAGCCCATTAACTGTTTTTCCTGTGACTAAGTCAATAAAGCCAAAATTGACACAAACTTGGCTGTGAACATCTAGCTTGTGCACGCAGGGTTTATTTCAACATGATGCACAATTCTAAAGAGTTCGGTTACACCCTTGAGGTAATATAAAGTTGCATTCTTTATTCATCCAGCCCAGCTGGAGGAACCACGTCTTGAACGGGCGACAAGTATAACTTTAAATAAACGTGTTTTACTCTAACTGAACTCTGGATTACAACCACTTTATAGGTAACACGTGTGGGATCCAGCTCAGATGTTTCTCATCTGCTGTCACGACTGCACACAAGTTTCCCCAAAAATTAGTGCAAATTACATGTTACCATATAAACACACAGACACATATGCACTTGCACAAACAAACAAACAAACAAACAACTAGAAGCTTTGTGGAGGGCTTTTGAGGAAAGTCAAGCCTCACCCTAAGTATTAAACTTTTCACTTTCTTATAACTCACCAGACTCTTGCATTAGAAGTGCTGAATTAAAAAGTGCCAGCTTGTGGCGTGGGTTAAGCTCCAGAGCATGGTTAAAGTTTTTCAGGGCCTCAGAAGAGTCCTTCATCTCAATGTTGACAATAGCCAGGTTGTACCACAGGTCTGCATTGGCGCCATCAAGCTCCAAGGCTCGGAGGTAGGCATCACGCGCTTCTGTCAGCTTGTTCATCTTAAGTAGCAGCTCCCCTCTGCGCCAAACGGAGAAAAAGGTAAATGGACTGTACTTATCTAGCACCGTTCTATCTAATCAAGATACTCGAAGTGCTTTCCAACTCAATCTGTGTCCTCATTTACCTCCAAACACATTCATACAGCACTCTACTGCATCTCTACAAAGATAATCAAACAAATCATTCTATAGAGACTTTAGACTCTTATAAGACTTTAGTGCTTTAGATCACATTCATAGACAGATGGGATGCACATGCAGGGGCATGAGGCAAAGAGAGGACACTTCAAGATGTGACTCTTGGTGGAATCGAACGCCCAACTCTCCCATTAAATGGCGATCGCTCTAACTCAGCCACAGTTGCCCCAAATAATAATAATAAACAGCACTTCACATGAAATACAAGATGGGTAAAACTAATTATAACTCATTTATCTCATGTCATCTTGCCTGCTGATGTAGGCCTGTTTGAAGTCTGGTCTCATGCTGATCGCTTGTCTGTAGAGCTGATCAGCTTCCTCCAGTCGTGAGTCGTTGGCCCGGATAAGATTTGCCAGATTTATGTAAACGTTAAGATGATTTGGGGCCACACGTGTGGCATACTTCTTTCCTGGAATAACCTGAAGAGTTGTCAACAGACATACCATTTACAGTTATTTACAGACTTGGTTACATATAAAATAAAATTAAAAAAACATTTAGAGAAAATGTCCTGATGCACGCTCAATAATCCAGGTAGATAAATCAAACAAGGTTGAGTCAGGTCCTCTGGACGGATTCTTCTTTGTTCAAACCTTTCGTCTTTCATCTTCTTCAGTCTGAAACACAACAACCAACTCAGTCTTAGAAACGGCACCTTCTCAAGGTAGATCAACCAGTTTTCTGGTGACAGCCAAAGTTAGTTGTTCACATACAAAAGGAGGACCATCATCAGCCTAACAATTGATTGTTAGTGCCCTGATGGTCGCTTGCTATTCACAGAGGGCTGAGTGACACTTGCAATAACAGCATTGTAAGAGGGGAACAGTTGAACACGGAGGCCTCTGCCTGTTTAACGATGGATGAGTTCTTTTCACAAAGATGGTTTCCTTACATTCTCTTTCAAACCATCGTTCCTCTCTATCAAGGATGCGAACATCTTCATCCCAGAACGAGTGACCACTGGCCTGCATGGCCCAGCACAGAAGAGCAACATCGTCAGGCCAGGACTCTGTGGTCTACACTCATCTACAGGTCAGCAGTCTCTCTTTCAGATATTAAGATGTTCACATCCTTGATAGAGAGGAACGTTGGTTTGAGAGAGTAGTGAAGGAAGACATCTTTGTGAAGAGAACTCATCCATCATTAAACAGGGGCTGAGGCCTCCGTGTTCAACTGTCACCCTCTTACAATGCTGTTATTGCTAGTAACACTCAGCCCTCTGTGAATAGCAAGCGGCCATCAGAGCACCAAGGATCAATTGTTAGGCTGATGGTCCTCCTTTAGCATGTGAACAACTAGCTTTGGCTGTCACCAGCAAACTAGTTGATCCACTTTGAGAAGGTGTTATTTATAAGACTGAGTTGGTTGCCGTGTTTCAGACTGAAGAAGTCTTTTGGATAAAAGATGCAACGTTTCAACAAAGAAGAATCCATCCAGAGGACCTGACTCAACCTTCTTAGAGAGAAAATCTAATGGCTGTGAATATAATATTGATAGTTTTGAAAGCAGGATGCAATATTTAGCTTTATCTGCTAAAATGCTCCACTGTAACTAGGCAGGTGCGGCAGCTCCTGAAGTTAATTCCAAAAGAGCCTATGCAATCGAAAAAGTCCAGTAGCAAGTTCATGCTAAAACTGGCTTTTAGGTGGAGTCAGTACTTGGTAATAATGTGTTGCGTGCAGCAGGATCATTCAGCTGAATTTCTCTAGAAGGAGGCACAAATAAACACCAAAACAGAAACATTAAAAAAAAAGCCAGATAAACAATGATACAGGCAGTTTTCTGGAGGCATGGACATGCCGAGTAACTTGTATGAGAATGAACCGTATGTGATATGAGATACCTGTGGCATGAGTGATTTAGCAACTAAATAAGCTTCTTCAGCCTCTTTGGATCTGTTCAGGTTCTTGTAGGTTCTTCCAACATTCATGTGAGCACCAATGTCATCTGTAAAAAAGTTGAAATAAATATTGAAAAATGGACTTAAGCAGCTATTCTTCCATATTCTTTGATGACCTTTTTCATTATTAAGACCTTCTAAAATGGAAATTTTGGGCATTTTGAAAAAGTGGGTTCTGTGGAATAGTTATCAAGAATCAATACGTTACATTTTGCACACAGGTCTGTGAATGACAGTTTGGGAAAAAAGTCTGACAAGTTAATGGCTAATCAGAATGTGGCCAAGACCAAAGAGGATTATCCATCCGTCAATCCATCCATTATCTTCTGCTTGTTGTAAAGTTGAGTCGCTCTTCTGGGAGGACTTGAAAGCGTACCCTGGCCAGCCAAGAGGCATAGTCTCTCCAGCATGTCCTGGGTCCTCCCCAGGGCCTATTCCCAGACACACATGCCAGGAGCACCTCCTTAAGGAGGTGCCCAGGGAACATCCCTACCAGATGCCCAAACCACCTCAACTGGCTCCTCTTGATGTGGAGGAGCGGTGGCTCTACTCCCGAGTCGCTCCCGTAAAACTGAATTTACTCTATCTCCAAGGAAGAGCCCAGCTAGCCTGCAGAGAAAACACATTTCGACCGCCTGTATCTGCAGTCTCATTCTTTCGGTCACTACCCAGAGTTCATGACCATAGGTGAAGTTAGGAACATAAACAGAGAGTTTTGCCTTAAAGCTCAGCTCCCTCTCCAACGAGGGTCACCAAAGTGGATTATTGTCATCTTAAGACAGCATCAATCTCTGAGATTTCAAAGAGGTTCATACAAATGCCATAATATATACATTTACATTAATGTCAATTTTGGAGTACAGACGTACCTCGTTACTTAGCGGTTTGACTTTCGCAGACTCGCTTTATCGCTGTTTGTGGACGAACAGTCCATAATATTGTACCAAAAAAAAATAAAATTTGTACAGGACACATGATGTTCAACTTTAATTGTACTCAAATGATTGGGACAGTACTGGATACAGTACTGTACAGTAAAAAGTTAACGAAAAATAAAATACTTCGGACAGGCACCGCCATTTTGTAGTTTTCTCTCAGTAAGCCTACAATATATTCTTGCTCATAACGACCACATTTCCCAGAAGGCAACAGGGCCCCGCCCAGAAAGCCTATTTCCTTCTGCTGAAATACTAGAGGGAAAGCTTTGATCTGATCAGAAAAAAGTTCAGCACTTATTACAGTGACTTCGGTGCCCAGCGGATGCAGAGACCTGCACAGAATCCACCCAACAGGACCAGAACCAGAGCAGAACCAGATCTCCAGACCCATCTGTAAATCTTGAGCTCTGGTATCCAGCCCATGAGGACTTCTAAACGGGGATTCGCACCGAAAGGTCCGGAGCCGTTTCTGAAGCCCATCGGGACTTTTTTCATCCAGACTTTTACTCAGTCGATCACCTATGGTCCCGCGCTGGCCAACTGAAGGTCTGCTCCCCCCAAAATGCGCTTCGGCCTTCAAGGACTGCACCGAGCTGGACCAGAACCGCACCTCCAGACTCAGTGGTCAACCTGAGAGCTCCTAGCCGGCCCACGCGGACCTCTGTGCGGGGACGCACTTGTAAGAAAATTTATTAGCTACATAGATGTATGTTGTTAAAATTAGTTTAAGAAATTAGGTTTAAGAGTTGACAAAATTGATTCTGGGCTTTGTTGCTGCAGGTTACGTCTGTAGAAACAAAACAGAGTCGGACCAGAACTGAGAACTGTTGCTGTGTTCTGCAGAGCCTGGTAAGTAAAATTTAGTAGCTACATATACAGTAATGTATGTATGTTGTTAAAATAACATAGGTTTAAGAGTTTAGAACATTGCAAGAGTGTGGGAAAGGTTTCTAAAGCCTTAAAATATATATAAATACTGAAATAAATATAACGCCGCTACTTTGCGGAATTTCACTCACTGCACGCAGGGGTGGGGGGTGTCGCAATGAACGAGGGACTATTGCTATTTAAATAGCTAGATGTAGATTGTTTGGCAGAAATATTACTTATTTCTGATGAAATAATTGTGTAATGTAAAACTGACAAACCTGAAATGTTCATAGATGATTAAATAATGGTGTTTTCATAAATCACAGTATATTGGGAAAACTGACGTTGTTTTTGGATGGCTGATGCGACTTATACACCAGAAAATACAGTAGTTATTAGCTCCTCTGTTCTAACAGAATCAAACAATTTCTCCAAAATGAGCCTGTTCAAAGAGCTATCTACAATAGGTCAGATATTAGCATTGCATAACTTTTCCTCAGAACCCCACCTCAAAATGGCTGAACTAGTTTTTTTTTTTTTTAACAGATAATTTCTTTATTTTCTAGGAAAACACTTTACAAGTCTAGAAACAAAATACATCTTGCAGGGACCCACTGAGAAGCACTGAAGCAAGTCAACTGGGACAAAAACTGATGTATGTTAAAGCAAGAACCCTCTCAGGGTTAATGTGTTTATTTTAGTAATCTTGGGAAACACTCGTGGGTGGTGAACCAACCAAAGTGTTGATGTTTCTGCTGATGACGGGCTTCCTGACAGCTGAAGAATGAGAAGAAGACTAAAAACTGGGAAAAGCTTAAGCTGTGTTAGCCGCTCGTTTCATATAATGATGTGGTAGAAATGATGTTAAGGTCCATTTGACTGCAGTCATAAGATTACAAAGTATAATGGATGGACTCATTGAACAACAAACTGGCTTTAAACCATGTGAGAAGAGAAGATCAAGGACAACTTCAGAAGCATTTTATGCTCAAACAGTCGTCTCTTTCTTCTTCAGAATGAACTCATTCAATTTTACCCTTGTTGTACAAAACATCCTCTTATATATGAAGTTACATGTCGTTAAGCACAGTCTTTATTTAAACTGCCCTTGATTCTTTTAATTTTTCTTGGCTTTTAGCAATGAAACACTTTTATATGTTCTTTTCCCTCTAACTTTTAGTTTAATTTTGTGCTTCATTACATCAAGGGCAAAAGAAAATCCAGCAACCCCAGACGCAGTATTTGTTTTCTGCATGTTTTTTCCATCCATCCATCCATTATCTTTACCCGCTTCTTCCTTTGCGAGTCGCGAGAGTCACTGGTGCACATGTCCAGCAGTCACTGTGTGAGAGGCGGAGCTCCAGTCCATCACAGGGACACATGGAGACAAACAATCATTCACTCTCTCTCTATCACCTAGAGTTTAGAGTTACCACTCGGTCTAACATGCATGTTTTTGGTCTGTGGGAGGAAAATGGAGTACCCGGGGAAAACTCATGCATGCAGGGAGAGAGCATGCAAACTTCACCTAGAAAACCCCGGCCGGGATTTAAACCGGAGTGACCTACTTGCTGAGAGGCGGCAGCTTTACCAACTGAGCAACCGTGCTGCCCATGATGTATTTTTTAAAATGTTTTGGTGACTGTAGCAGAAACAATGTGACTGTATGCAAGTAGGTGTCTGCAGACGAAACAGGCATTCCCCAAGGAAGGCGTATCTCAAGGGCCACACTTGATTGGACGAAAAACAAACAAACAAAAAAAAAAACCTCAAGGTGTTACTCAAGGACTTCACTTGATTGGATGAAAAAACAAGGCGTTACTATAGGACTACACCTGATTGGATGAAAAAAAAACAAGTTGGTACTATAGGACTACACCTGATTGGATGAAAAAACAAGGCGTTACTATAGGACTACACCTGATTGGATGAAAAAAAAACAAGGCATTACTATAGGACTACACCTGATTGGATGTAAAAACAAACAAACAAGGCGTTACTAAAGTACTACACCTGATTGGATGAAAAAACAAACAAACAAGGCGTTACTAAAGTACTACACCTGATTGGATGAAAAAAAAAAAACTAGGCGTTACTATAGGACTACACCTGATGGGATGAAAAAACAAACAAACAAACAAACAAACAAACAAGGCGTTACTATAGGACTACACCTGATTGGAGGA